CAAGCAGGCGACGGCGGGGTGCTGCCAGGGCCCAAGGCCGGGCTTTTGGGACCCCATCGGCCGGTACAAGTGGTAAGGCCCCCGGGGGTTTGGGGATGGCCCACTTCGGGTCCGGTTCACCCTCCTCCTCCCCGCCTCACGGCCGCTGTCACCCGCAGGGATGCCTGGCACAGCCTGGGGAGGATGTCCAAGGAGGAGGCGATGGCGGCTTATGTGGCTGAGATGAAGAAGGTGGCCCAAAAGGTAACGGAAAAGGGGAGAGCAGGTGTGGTTGGATGCTTGGTGGCGCCGGCTGCAAGCTGCGTCCCTTCCCAGATCATCGACACGGTGCCCATGGATGAGACAACGGAGGAAATGTTCGCATACTTTGAGCCGCTCTACGAAGTGATCCATGACATGCCCCGGCCCCCCGAGGCCTTCTTCAAGAGGAAAGGGGGTGAGTGGGAGTCTGTGTGCCCCGCTTGTCCCTGGTACATCCCTTGCCTCTGTGCCACGCTCTGCTTTCCTGGCACGTCACTCCTGCTGTTCCCTGCTTGTTTCTGCACGAGTATGGCAGTCACCTCTGGTCTGCTCTTCCCCAGAGCACGTCCTTCTGCTGCTTCCTGGGAGGGGAACAGGATGGATGCACCACGTCCCATCTGACTCCCCTGCCATGGTGCAGCTGCTGCCGAGGTGCTTGTTTGGGCACCACCAAGCAAGTGTCTGTTCAAGTGACCAGGTGTCCCTTCACCCTGGGCTTTCTCTCAGCAGAACTTTGAGGAGAGAACTTGAGATTTGGCTTCCAGATGCCCCTTGGCCCGAATCCCTGTACACAGTAGAGCATGGGATCAGCTCCCAGGGAGCACTGTGGTAGGGAGGGTGTGTTTTCTCTTGGCGCTGGCCCACCTCCGGTCAGGGCGGGCTGTGTACAGGCAGCCTGGGTCATCTCATGTAAACATCTGGATAGGCCAGCCAGGCAGACAGAGTGGATGTGGAGAAACTAGGCTTGAGAAATGGCATCACTGGGGCTGCCTTGTGCTGGAGAAGAGTCCTCCCCAGCTCTTGCCATGCCTGTGGCTGCTGCCTCATGCCGAGATGTGGCTGGGGACCTGTCCCACCCCCCAGAGCAGGGCAGTCCTCGGTGTATCAGACTTGTGAGAAGTGGCCGAGTGCATGAGGGGCTGGACGTGGTGGTTCAGAAAGGTGTCGGCTACCACAGAGTGAACCTGCTGACTGCATGTGTGGAGGTTTGGCTGTGCCACGTTTCCAGTACATTAGCTCAGCAGCACGTGAGCTTTTGGGATGTATTCGCAGCGGGTGTGTAAACTGTCAGTGCTCTGCTAATGTCAGAGGAGCGCTTACAAATAGACTCGCTCCCCGCCTGTCCCCAGGCATCTGTCCTGCGTCTGACAGCTTCTGTCACCCCCTGCTTCCAACAAGGATGCTGAAAGCACGCGCCTGTAGGGCTTGGCCTCAGGATGGCTGCTCCTTCCTCTGGTACCCAGGAGCTTTTGTTCTCCTTTTTGATGCTGGATCCCTTTAAAAGGTCACACTGACTTAATTTTTCTCTGGAATGGAAAAGCTGGATCTAAACTCCTGGTCATTAGATGCTTGGGAGTGTCATCCTGTGCTGCTGTCACTTATAAATGGCACTGTCACTGAAATCTCAACCTGGTAACGTCTGTGGAGTGAATGAGCCTGAGGTGCCTGAGTGGTTTAAACTGCTGAACTTCTTAAGCTGTTGAGCCACTGGTGTTGAGGGTTCTCAGACCCTTCAGACTTTGTGTGATTGCAGCTTTTGTTGCACTAATCCAGCAGAGAAAGGGGATTTTAGATGCCGGGGCAAGTGGGAGCAGAACATGGCAGTCACTGGGTCCTCGGTGGCTGCAGAGCTTTTGGGGAACAGAGCTGCTGGATGTGGGGAGTCCAGGCAGGTTTGGCTTTGTTTATTTACAACACCAATGCACCATAAAGCAGCGCTTGGAACCCAAGTCGTGGGTGGTTCAGGGTCCTGACAGGTCAGCGGAGCTTTCACCTGCATCTTGTACCTGTGGGCCAAGACTCTGAGGCAGCTGGGAACCAGCAATGAAGCCTTTAACGCGTGGGCCCGGTGCTGCTCTGCCAGCCCTGAGGTTGCAGGAGGCCGGTGTTGGAGCCAGGCGGTGCTGTGCAAGGTGACAGGACCCTGCCTGCGCCCACCCACCCTGAGGGACAGGCTCGGGGTCACAGCACCCACCCTGAGCAGGGATTTGTGGACAGTCATGGGCTCTGGGCTGGGCTCTGGGTGGTCCCACAGCCCAGGCCTGCAGAGATGTGTGGGTGAGGCACAGGCAGGGCAGCGTTGCCACATACCTGCCTGGCCGGGAGCAGGGAGCAAAGTCCCGGGGGCCACTGGAAACGTGGCTGGGCTTAACCCCGTGGGCTCCACGGGGCAATGGGGAGGGCTGGGAGCCTGGGCAGGCTGAGGATCCCCAGGTGGGTACCTGCCCCGGGCCCACTCTGGGTGCTGCTGCCTGCTGAGAGCCCCTGCAGGTGATGGCAGTGTGCGCTGCCCAGCCAAGGCTCTGCCCAGCCAGCGTGGCTTGCGTTAGGCTCTGTTTGC